GGCGAGTTAGAAGGTCGACTCCGAGACTTGCAGTTGAATCGTCCAGCTAATCCGACGAACGCTCCCAAGGTAAAGACTCCATCCTTTGATGGCACTATTCCTTTCCAGGTCTTTAAGCTCCAGTTTGAGAAGACAGCTACAGCAAATCACTGGAGCATGGAGGATAAATCCGCTGCACTGTTCGTTGCATTAAAAGGACCTGCAGCGGAAATCTTGCAGACTATTCCTGATTGTGAAAGGAACAGTTACGATGCGTTGATGAGTGCTGTGGAGAGACGTTACGGTAGCGAGCACAGGGGACAGATTTACCAGATGGAGCTGGAGAATCGCTGCCAGAAATCCAACGAGACTTTACAGGAATTCGCCTCTGAGATTGAAAGGCTGGCTCATTTGGCAATTGGAGACGCATCTGGTGAGCACCTTGAAAGGGTAAAAATCCAGAGGTTCATCAACGGAATGCGGGACATGTATACCAAGCGAGAGACGTACGCGAATCCAAAGGCAACATTTGCTGAAACCGTCTCGTATGCTCAGACGCGTGAAACGGCGGCGCTCCTAAGTAGACCAGCCTACAAAGCACATCGTGTGGAAGTGGAAGCACCGGAAGACACAAATGAAATGCTGAAGAAGATTATCCAACTGCTGGGCGAGAAAAAGCATGGCTCTGGGAAATGTTTCAAATGTGGAAAGCCAGGCCACTTCGCCCGCGATTGCAGCGCAAGTTCCAGTGGGATCAACAATTCAGCAGGACGCAAACGCAGGGCTGAAGAGACGAAGCCAACTCCAATCAGTCGTTAAACTGAAACGAGCCAGCAGGAAGGGCCGCGTGCTGGCTCCAGAAGTTGAAGGGCCCATAATCTCCGTCTCCCAAATTGGCCGGAATGCGAGCAACCTCACTATTGGTGGATGTGTGAATGGGCAGGAGAGAGTACTGACAGTGGATACTGGAGCGACACATTCCATTATTCGACCGGATTTGGCCACTTTTTATGTAAAGCCACTACCTGGAGCAAAGCTGCAGACTGCAACTGGTGAATGCACCCAAGTGTTAGGAGAAGTACCATGCGAGGTAATAATCGACGATGTGGCCTCGTACACTAAGTTTATAGTGGCAAAGATGAAGCCATCATCGGCGTGGATTTCTTACTTGGCCAAGGCATGAAGATTGACCTCCAGAGTATGATCCTGACAGATCGTCACAGGAAAGTGCCACTTAGAGTTGGTTACGACAGCCAGTGCTGCAGCAGACGGTTAGTCTTAGAGGAAGTGTCGAAGATTCCACCAGAAACGGAAGCGATTAGTTGGGCGGAGGTTGGCAGTGATGTAGACGGAGTGGTTTCGTCTGGAGAAGGAAGCGGTTCACCAATACAGGAAAAGCGTGACGGTTCCGCCAGCTCAGTGAAGGAGAGGTCACAACAAGGAAGTGGTCATGGCGAGCCAGGCATTGTTTCCGGCAGGAGGAAAGCCACTGAACCACGTTGCAATGGTGATACGCCGGTGGCCGGAAATGGAAGCGGCTGTGAAAGCAGTAGGCGCGCTTTGAAGTGTCCGGAAAAAGGTGGTCGGCAAAGGCGAGCAGTTGCGCCGGAAGCCAAGGGTGAGATTATACATGTCCGGTCAATGAAGTTAGCATCGGCGGAAGAGCGAGATACGAAACGACGGCGGAAGCTTCAGCGTAAGGATCCGGATGTAGCAAGATGTGCTAAGGGCAGTGCAGCACGAAGGCAGGAGCCAGGGTATCATGGACAGATGATGCGGCATAGATCTGGCGAAAAGGGTGCCCATGAGAAGAGACATGGTCTGGTCACCACCAGTGGCCGGCAGAAGCACGACCATGTGAGATGGTGGACCACCGGAGATAA